CTGGCAGACCTGTATCTGACCGACCCGTCACTGACAGACCTGTATCTGACCGACCCGTCACTGACAGACCTGTATCTGACCGACCCGTCACTGACAGACCTGTGTCTGACTAACCACTTACTGGTGGTTTTCTGTTATCTCCAGCAAATTTTTAAGTAAATTGCTTAGTTTATTATTCTTTGCTTAATTGTAGTTTCTCCATATTAATGTAATTCAATTTTTAACTAATAAAATAAATATACGTTGCATAAAGTGAATTTTCAATATTCATTTAACTAAAGTAATTTAATATTTGGATATTCAGTATTTAAATTTTGTCTAATTTAATTTAACCAGAGTCATTAAATTTATACAAGGTATTTACAGATGCTACATCTGTTGTGTTATAATTCGCTTAATCAATTCAAATTAAAATGTATTTTCAAAAAAGGGTTATTTACCTTCAAAACGGCTAATTGCTAATAAACACATGTTTTACTTACTTATAAGTTTTTTAAATAAAGTTTTAAGACTTTTAAAATTTAATAACTAGGATCATAAACTTGTTGATTTAATATCATTTTATTATAAATATACATATATAAATTTACAAACACTCATTTGATAGAATCACTAGGCTTAATAATTTGTTTAGCTTAAATTTACGACTTATACAGAACATAATTAGCCGGTTTACATGCATATCAAACTTTAAACATTAGAGTAAATTGACAATATAATTTAGCCAATATGAACGTTAACGTTGGATTTGGTCCCATTGCCGGCACTGCCACCTATTCCCCCACTGCCAGCCGTGCCATTTACTGCTGGTGCGCCACTACCACCCTGTGCCCCATTGCCACCATTGCTAATATTTAAATCAATATTATTGTTCTGTCTTTCCAATTGTAAATTCTGATCTAGATGCTCCAATTCATCAATGCCATCATCAAATTGGCCATGGTCATCATAGAAACATTTAGCGTAGATTATTAGAAAACACGCAAACAAATAGAATTGGTAAATTTTCATGGTATGACTTTTTACAATTTAAAACAGTTTAAAACACTTTAAGTTGTACCTAAAATCATAAAGCTAGACAGATTTCTGATTGTGAAAGTTTATATTAGTCTGACTTTGAAAAGGGTTAATTTTTTTCATTAATGGGCATAAAACTATAATTTAAAATATGTTTTAGTAAATTGATTATATTGCAGTAACTATAATATTACCTTAACTTTTTTAACTTAATGTAACTTTTTTACATTAATAGCATAATTTTAATTATAAATAGTACCGAGCTGTAAATATACATGTCGATTGTATATGTCGATATACATTGTATATATAGCTGTAGATGTCGTTTCAATTTACAGATTATCTTGTTCAAAAATTAAATTTATATAAATTATATGTTTCTTAACAGAAGTGAAAAAGTTTTTATTTTAAATCACCCTGAATTAATCTTTTTAAATTGTCATTATTAAAAACTTAGTTTTATTTATAAATAAATAATATAATCAGATAAAATTCTTAAAAATAATAATATTAAATCATTATTCTAGATTAGTCACACATTTATCATAATTATTACACAATTGTTGCTTCATTTTCTCTGTTCTCCATATAATAAATACGAGTAATAAAAAGACGGTAATACTGACGGCCAGCATAAGAGCCTCAAACAATATAAACATATCGGAGTATTGTTTCATATATAGCCCGATGAGATACGGGGGCAGTATATTGAACGATGACATAAACACAGTCATTAATGTGCCCACCATATCAGTCATGCGCACATTTGCGCCCACGAAAGCGAATATAGACTGCATTATAGCCGATATACCGACGCCCATGAATACGTTGGCCACCCATAACATGGTCATATTACTGCGGCCAAACACCAGGCATATTAATCCTTAAATAAAAAATACAATTAACTTATAATACTAATAAAATAGTTTATAATTTTTTAAAATAATAAATGTTATACTGTATTTGTTGCTAAATAATTTTGCGCTTAGGTTTTTAGGTATTTATAGAATTCTAGTCAAAAATTATTCTAATTAATGTCTCAACAAATAAAACAATAAATTATTGACCCTTTTTATCCGATTATTAAATATACATACCTATAATACAAATGGCAAAGTGTATGATAAGCATCAATTTGGGCGACAGTTTGATGGCGATAAAAATACTCAGCCCTCTGAACACAGTGTAGGGGGCGGTGAACGCCGTGATAACATCGGTGGCCTTTTTCGGGCTGATACCCAACGGGCAGTACTGAAAGTACGTCGAGGCGAACGTATAGTACGAGGACTCTACCAGATTGAACGCGCCCACCAACGTGCCAAATAGTAGCAGGGCAGGCCATCGGTATTTAGGGTACCTGTCGAATAGTCTCCATTGTGGACCATCTAGATTGCTTTCCTTGAGTGTAGGATCCTTGACTTGTTGGTCACCCTTTTCTTCAACTATAGGTGTGTTTGCCCCGGGAGTTGAGTCACTTTTATTACGGTATCGTTTAAACACAAACATTAAGGTCAATAAAATGGGAACTATCAAAATAGATAAGATTAATATTAATTGGTATAATTTTACAAATGTGACATGTTCAAACTTACAAACAATCTGAATGACACCCAGTATGAGAAACGGCGTCTTTAAGTGTGACCGTCTGTCCTCTTCGTACGATTCGTTGTACGGATAAGTGACTAAATCGTCGTCAGGTGTCGACACTACTACCGGTACTGCAATAGTGGTCACGTCGGGTCCCGTGTATTTGTCTCGAAGAAATGGCTTTAACAGCAGTGGCGACAGTATTGTACCTAGGCCAAATGTTAGACCCGGTATCTGAAGTATGGGTGCACTTTTTTGTAGCCACATCTCGATGATCCATACGTTGATCACGCAGTTTATAATGCCGGAGCCCATGCCCAGGGCTATCGCACAGACATACAGTACGTACAGGTTAGGCGAGTGTGGTATGAATGCGGTGCCGATTGCCATCGCGATTAGGAATGCTGTCAACACTAGTTGTCTGTTTAGATACTTTATTAGGAATCCAACTGTAGTTTTGACAGTAAATTAGTTTTAAATAATAATTATTATTGAGAGAGAGAGAGAGAGAGAGAGAGAGAGAGA